AGTTCCATCTTGATGAGAGTGTAGTCAATTACGGCAAGCTTATTTCGGAGGAACACTCACCGTAGATAATCCCCCACCCAGTCGGGGAAGTCGCGGAAATGCTCGACCAGCTCCGCCTTGTCGGCCTCCGCCGACCAGTTGCCCCCCTCCGGGTACCCCTCTGGGTACCCCTCCGGAGCAATCTTCGCGGCCGTGGACCGCCACAGCATCGCGTCCGGCACGATGACGGCGAAGTTCAGGACCTCGAAGTCGCGGCACGGGTAGATCACGACGCGGCGCTCGGTGGCGTCGAAGGCGAAGACGGTGGTGATGCAGCCCGGCTGCGTGCGGTCGAGGGTTGCCGGTAGATAGCCTAGGGCGTCGTGGGCCTGGGCGCGCGTGAGGGTGAACCGGAAGATGGAGGAGCCGGCGGGGATGGGGTGGATGTTGGGGACGGCGGGGAGGACGAGTGGGCGGAGGGTGGATTTGATGCCGTCGGCTGCTGTTGGTTTTCCAGGTTAGTTGTCAGGATGGTAGGACTGGCTGGTGGCTACGAGCAGGGAAACTGGAACTACAAACCCACAACCAAATCCGCCCTCACCACCTCCCCGGTACTCAACACCACCTCCCCATTCTCCACCTTTATATCCCTTTGCCCACTACTACTACCACTACCACAGCCAACAACCCAGACCCCCCACCGCACCCTCGCCGGGCAGCCCTTCACCCCCACCTCCTCCGACGGCGCCGTCGCCAACCGCAGCAGCTCGTCCCGCAGATCCGCCCGGTGGAAGAACAGCCAGTCCGCGCCGAACTCCCGGCGGTAGTCCACCGTCGTGTCGGCCGTCACCGCCCCGGCTTTGTTGTAGGCGATGGTGCGCGCCACGGGGATGGCCTGCGCCCGCCGCCGGTCCAGCCCCACACTCTCCAGGATCGCGATCCCGTTGGGCCCGATGTTGATGGCCGCCCCCGTTTCGTTGGCCGACGCGGTGCGCTCGTAGATGGTTACCTGGTGTTGTTCGCGGAGGATGCGGGCCGCCAGGAGGCCCGCGATGCCGCTGCCGATGATGGCGATGTTGAGGGGGGACATTTTGACACTTTGGTTGGAGATTGGGATGGGGTGGGTTGAGGGTTGAGAGTTGAGAGTTGAGAGTTGAGAGGGGTTTGAGGTGTGGTGGTGGTGGTGGTGGTGGTACCCTCCCCCCCTTGCGTGAGGCTGAGGTTGGTCCTGCAGGGTGTGAGGGCTTGGGGTTGTTGGTTGTTGATGTCATGCTGGTGATGCCATATGATAATCTTTACCTTGCGAGGGAGGAATGGTTGTGGTTAGGTTGTGGGATGCTGGATGCTGGGAGGATGGCATTATAAGATCATAATAAGATGAAGGATTGGACGACATGGACAGTGAGGGGCAACTATCACCACTAGCCTGTCAGTGTGATTATGATGATCATTCCTACACATCGACAACAGACTGGACTTGGTGAGTTTATGCTGTTCTTGGCCCCATTAAGTTCATCCCTAGCAAGGAGATGCCGATGATGTACAAGTCTGCCAGTTCAGTGTCCTAGACGTACTGATCCTATGTTAATTCTATCATCTCCATCTGGGCAAGATGAACACGTGGGTGAAGCATCACAGCGATGTCCAGCGATCAAACTCATGCATTTGGCAAGCGACGTTGACGCATGAGATGTTTCGGTCGCTCACTCATGAAGTTCTTCTGTGTTTGAACCTTTCATCCACCGGTTGACTGGTCGCGACATGTTTCGTGTCGGTGACCAAGTTCAGTATGATTGTTGCTTCGTTGATGTCTTCTGCCTTGGACAAGTTAGACATAGGCGTAAGCATTGAATCAGTGGATCAAAAAGCTTACCAAACCTCAAGTCTAGACAATACCCCTAGAATAACTACGGCCAAATGCTGGCAGGAGAAGCAAAACCTAAGAGTCAAGAAGTAACTGCTGATCCCCATGCAACCAGTCTGCAATCTTGTCATTCCCCGCGAGGGCTATACCTATCACATCGAGGATAACTCCCTACCCAGTCGTCCCCGATCATCTGATGAATCGAGATAAGATCCCTGACAAAACTACCAATCAGATCCTCTGCACCGCTACTTTCCAAGGCAGAAGGCTGGCCGTGGCAACATTGCGTAACGATGCAGGACCAAACAGAATCCGGATTCTTCCCCGCATGGCCCGAGTCTGGCAGTGGCAGAGGATTTCATTGATCGCCCTACCCGGGGTCAGTCGCTCAAGTCCGAACCGCTGGCCAACCTCTGGCCAAGTCGATTGGTCGGTGCCTAAAAGGGGCTGCAGCGAGTCTTCTGGAAGATTGCCTGTCTGATCCATGGCTGAGTCCGCTGGGCAACGTAATCCTGCGTCCACGGTATGGTCGGATGTTCCGTGCCGGGAGGTCGATAGGTATGGCTGGAGTGGTTAGTGGTAAGGAGTGTAGAAGAAGTGTTAAAAGGTATAGTATAGTATAGTATCTTATTTCATTCATACTACTCAAATACTCAAAGATAAGAAGAAATTCGTGAATCCGTCTGTATAGATGCTGTTGTTCTTCAGTGCTCTGCTCAGTTCTCAGTTGGCAAGGCAGGCACCTCCCTCCTGGCCGTGTAATGCTGCTGTAACATCGTGTATTGTAACTCTGCCCTACGCCTCGTGCGGCCCCACCGTCTCTTTTTATGGCAGCCAATGCCGAGTGCTGGTGAGCGGGGAAGAAGCCGCATCAGCCAGCCCTGTGAGTCTGCGACAATCTTGCCTTCTGCTGCCCTTTAAATACTAAATCTTTCCCCCCCCACCGTGTCAGCTTCTTCTCCTTACAATCTTCTTTTCCCTCTTGACTGTGTCCGGGCCCGTATACGCAAATCTCCACCTCAAGACTAGACAGTCTAGGCTCCATTCACCGGGCATAGCGGTAGACAATCGCCCACATTCCGGCTTAACAGTAGTAGTTCACTCGCGGATATTCTTATCCGCTCGCACACCGACACATCGGCTCGCCCCTCCCTTTTGCCCACAGCCTCCTTTCCCAAGCAATTGATGTACTACCAGAACTCGGGATATTCGCAGGGTTGGTCCGGCGGTTATCCTCCTCCTTCTCATCAGGGAAGCTGGGGTCCGCCGCCTCCACACCACAACCAGTGGGTTTACCTGTTACGAAGATAAAGACACGCACGCAGACTAATCGATCCCGCTTTAGATATCCCCCTAGTCCACAATACTATCCTCCTGCAGGACCCCCTCCCGGCCCTCCGCCAGGACACCAGTACTCTCCTCCCCCCGGCCCTCCGCCCGGCCATCAGTATCCTCCGCCGTCCGGCCCGCCTCCGTCTCACCACTACTCCTCCTCCGGTGGTTATCCACCCTACCCCTCCCCGGCTCCATCCCCCTACGGCCACCCTCACACTCCGACCCCGCCACCGCAATCCTCATCCCCAGGCCACACCCGATCCTACCACAGTGAGTCCATCCAAAACCCAGAAGTCATCCCCTCCCCCCAATTCTCCCTCTAATGCCGCCCCCCTCCGACCAGGCCACTCCCAATCATGGGGCTCCCTCCCCCCGCGCCCGCCGCAGGAGGCCCAACAGTTCGGCAAGGGCGCCCCCTCCAACTACCGGTTCCAGTACTCGACCTGCACGGGGCGGCGCAAGGCGCTGCTGATCGGCATCAACTACATCGGCCAGCCGAACGCGCTGCGCGGCTGCATCAACGACGTGACCAACATGTCGACCTTCCTGAACGAGAAGTACGGCTACCGGCGCGAGGACATGGTCATCCTGACCGACGACCAGCAGAACCCGATGAGCGTGCCCACCAAGGCCAACATCCTGCGGGCCATGCAGTGGTTGGTCAAGGATGCGCAGCCCAACGATTCGCTGTTCATTCACTTTTCGGGTGCGTGGCCCCCACTGAATAGCTGTGTGTCTGTGTGCGCGTAGAACTGACTGACTGACTGGATCTGATATCAGGGCACGGAGGTCGTACGCCTGATCTGGATGGTGACGAAGAGGATGGTGAGTCTTGCAGGCAAAAGCAAAACACATAAACCCCACGGCATTAACCTGATGAAACCGGCGTCAAGGCTACGACGATGTAATCTACCCCCTCGACTACCGCACCGCGGGCCACATCGTCGACGACGACATGCACGATATAATGTAAGCGAGGCCCTTCACCCTGCATACAAACACACACACCCCCAGCGAGAAAGAGAGAGAACGACAGCTAACCAAACAAAAAGGGTCCGCCCCCTCCAACCCGGCGTGCGGCTCACGGCGATCTTCGACTCGTGCCACTCCGGCACCGCGCTGGACCTGCCCTACGTCTACTCGACGCAGGGAATCCTCAAGGAGCCCAACCTGGCCAAGGAGGCGGCGATGGACCTGTTCAGCGCCTTCCAGTCGTACGGCAAGGGCGACCTGAGCAGCGTCGCGCAGACGGCCATCGGCTTCTTCAAGAAGGCGGCCAACGGCGACACCGCCCGCCAGCGCACCATGCAGACCAAGACCTCCCCGGCCGACGTGGTCATGTTCTCCGGGTCCAAGGATACGCAGACTTCGTACGTCCCTGCTCCTCAGGAAGGAAGGAAATGGCTTCGCCAGACTGTGCCGAATATGCTAATTCTTTTTTTCTTCCCCGACGGATAGGGCCGACACCTTCCAAGATGGCGAGGCGCGCGGCGCGCTGAGCTGGGCCTTCATCAAGTCGCTCCAGCAGCGGCCCAACCAGAGTTACCTGCAGCTGCTGAATTCCATCCGCAACGAGCTGGAAGGCAAGTATACGCAGAAGCCGCAGTTGAGCTGTAGTCATCCGCTTGGTGAGTGGTCCTGCCTGTCCGGGAGTAGGGCAGGTGAGAAAGAGAGAGTGTGTGGATGTGTTTGCTAATGTTTGGGTGTAGATACCAATTTGCTTTTCGTGATGTGAGACGATGCGATGGATTTGAGGGCCGGGGACGGTGGCATTGGCGTTGCATATGGGTTTGGTGTGAGCGATTTCTTCTGTTCTATTCTCAGCACCCCTCGGGGTGGGTATATACACTCTATACAATATACAATATCCAACTATGAGAGCTGTGCTCGTCTATTCACCATCTGACCGTAACGCGTAAAGCTGAAACACCACCACTTCCTACATGCATCCACCCTCCCGAAACATCATAAAGCCACCGCTATGCTCCCATCCACCCTTCGAAAGGCACGAACCACCCTTGCAGAAGGAAACTAAGTATCGACACCCCCAACCTCAGCGTTCAAAAACCGCACAAACGCATCGGGCATCTCCTCGCTTGTCAGCCCGCCGCCGCGCGCACTGGCATGCGGGCCGGCCACATACGCCCGATTCAGCGTGATCCACTGCCGCCGCCACCGCTGCAGCCGCGGCAGCGCCAGCACGCCGCCGGCGGCGGCCAGCTCCTCGGTGGGCCCGCCGGCGCGGGCGACGTGCGCGGGCACGAAAAGCGGCGTCGCCGACGCCGGGATCGGGATCGTGATGCCTTCGTCCCTTCTCCCGGAGGAGGAGGGGGAAGCGGAAGCGGAGGCCGCAAGCGCCTCGTCGGCGGTGGGGTGCGCCTGCGTGAACGCGCGGATGGCCGCGATGATGCTCGAGGTTGTTTTCTCGATGCTGTACAGTGCGGTGGAGGAGGTGGTGGCGGGGAGGGCGGTGGCCTGGTGCGGGCGGATGCGGGGGCGGCCCAGGGGGGTTCTTCCGCCGCCGTTGGTGGTGGTTGCGGTTGTGTAGGTTGAGGGGGCGATGCTGGCGGTTTCGGGATTGGTGAGGTGGGTGTTGGTAAGGGAGGTGGTGGTTAGGTCTAGGAGGGATGTCCGGGGGTGTTGTTGTTGTTGGTCTTCGGGCGATGCGGTGGAGGGGTGCGGGAGGCCCGTTAGGGCGGTCCAGATCTCGGCGATGGGAGGCGAGGCGTCCGACCATGGCACCGTGAAGAGCGGCTTGTCCCATCGGCTGTGGATGCTGGGTTCTTCGTAGCGGAAGATCAGGTTGTTGAGGAGGTCGGTCGGGTAGGGGTCTTCTTTGTCGGTTGTTGGTGCATCGGTGGTGGTGGCCTCCTCCTCCTCGGAGGGTGAGGTAGGTACACCCTCCGCGGCCTTGCGCTGGATCCTCGCCTCGTTGTTCTTCACGCACTGCTCGATCGGCGTGCCCACATGGACCTATGCCCCCGTATCTCAATTAGCATCACTCTCCCCTCTCACCCAGCCTCTTGGAGGGCAAGGACACACACCACACAACTGCTCGTCTTCAGCGCCTTCGCCTCACACCACAACTGATACCGGTACCCCTTGATGTAGTTCATCCCGTCCAGGATCACGAAACTGTCCTTGCCCAGCGCCCGCTTGGCCCGCGCGTACGCCACCCCGCGCGACTCCTTCTCCGTGCGCGCCTGGTCGTAGACCGTGCGCGGGTGCGACGGATCGTGCGTCGGCACCACATGGACCTTGAACCGGGGCTTGGAGTCCGGGAACACCCCGGACGCGTAGAGCTCGTCCTGCGTCGCTTCGAGTTGCGCCGCGAGTTGGTTCGCCCGGTAGGTCAGCCCCGAGCAGGGGTAGCCGGTTAGCACTATGAGCTTTTTTCCCGGGGGAGGTCAGTATTCCGTACGTTTCATCGTAGGTCGGTTGGGCTGAAGAGGGGATATGAAGATTGGACTTACTGGCATGGTGGGCTTGTGCTGGGTGGGATCAATGTCTAGAATTGTCGGATGGTTGGTATGTGTGATGATGCAAGTTGGGGATTTTTTTGCGCGGGGCCGCCGCCGCCGCCGCCGCGGGCGGGCGGTGGGTGGGGTTACATGTGACTTTTGCTTTGGCCGTAGAGCTGGTCGGGTTTTGTTGGTTTCAACTACACTGCGATTGATTGAGATTGTATACTTGTTTACAAAGTGTTTCGAGGTAATGGCAAAATGTATAATGTAGTAGATTGATAAAAGGGGATATACGCCCGTCTATCCAAGCAAACAATCACTTTTGTATGTACTGTACCATGTACCCCCGCGCAACACCAGCCATGCAACCCAATTCATGTCTCGTCCAGTCCCCGGCCGTCTATTTCAACTCCTCCTCCGTCCACCGGATCTCATATCCAAACACCGTCCTCCGCAGCCGCTCATCCTAAGCCCAAGATTAGCACTGATTCCCCCAACAACAAAGCACGACAAGAAGACTCACTCCCGGATCATTCTCGAACAACACATCGTCCATCACCTTCTCGAAGATCTTGGTGACGTGGAACCCACTCTCCTCGGCCAGCGGGAAGAACTTCTCCGTCTTGGGCAGCAACCACGGCTGGTACGGGGTGAAGATGACGAGGGCGACGGCCTCCGGGCTGCGCTTGAGCGCCGCGCGCATCGTCTGGATCAGGTTCGGGTGCTCGCGGTGGCTGTACACCACGTCGGCCATGATCAGCAGATCAAAGCCCTGGCTCCGGGCGGCTTCCGGGAGATAGGCGAGGAGCGGCGCGACGGAGGCGCCCCATTTGTACCCGTCCACATGCAGCGCGGAGTCGCAGCCGACGAGCGCGGCCGACAGCCCCGCGTTGTGGCGCATGTTCTCGACCAGGTCGACGTCCGGGTAGTCGGTCATCACGGCGGTGCGGGCGCCTAGGATGGCGCTGACGATGCTGGGGACGCCCGCCGCGGCGCCGATCTCCAGCACGTCCTTCCCCTTGACGAGTCGGTCGGCGTGTTCTTCGAGGTAGTGGGAGCTGGTGCGGCCGGCGTTCCAGAGGAGGTTGCCCTATCGGAAGGAGAAAAGGTGAGTTTGGCGAAAGATGTTGAACAGAATTGGGGGGATATACGTAGAGCGGATGGCTGCCCACCAGGCGGACGCGCACCGTCTGTCCAGACAGCATGTGATGCTCCGCAAAGGTGGGCTCCGGTTCGGGCTCGTAGAACCCCTCCGGATCCTGGAACATGCCCCCGGTGTCGAAATTGTCCTCGTCCGCCATTGTTTCGGTCGCTCGCTGGGTCAAGTGGTGGTCAAGGATGCGAGGGGCATTGCGGGCGACCGATTCGGATGCAGGCGCCCTGCGCTGATAATTTCTCGCTATCGCGATAGTGTCGAGTGGAGCTCGTCCGTAGTGGGGGATGTCCTTTCTGGGTTTAGCTTGATCCCTAGAAGTCACATGATACCATGTGACCTGAACCGAGGTAGCGATTCCGGACAGCCTTCACGGTGCTTGCAGTGCAGTGGGTTGCGCAGCAAATTCCATAAGGAAAAACTCAACCCCGCGTGGAGATGCGGACCGGGTAAAAGTCGGACACGGGATTTCCCTTTTGGGCTCTTTTGGCTCTTTTGGCTCTTTTGGCTCCAACAGTGATTGTTCCAACAAGGCAATCTTGGCGATCTTCAAAGACTTGCTGGAACTGGTTTAGTCCTGCTACTTAAGTTCAGTCTATTCAGGCCTTGGACTCCTTTCAATCAATCATCAATGATCATTGATTGCTCAAGGAGAAGATTGGCCTTGCAGTGGACGAGGTATGTAACAGTACCTTGCGTCAAAAGTACGTATGCCTTCTTTACCCGGGGTGCATGGATAATCTACCAAGTACTGGACTGGACTTCCACCGCATAAAAGCTGGAGAGTTGACTTCGGGATTCTGGGGTTGGGCTTGGGTTTGGGACGGTTTCATCATCATCACCCCACCCAGTCGTTGAAGTTCTTTCTTATCGTTGACTTTCTCGTTGGAGATTTGCCGGACGTCATACCGCGGTCCATCCGGTCAACCGCCCCACGTGTTGCTGGGACTGGGGACTTTTTTTTTCTCTCTGGCTCAGTCTATTCTTTCTACTTAACTGCATCACTGCTGCTTCCGCTGCTTCTCATCACGCCATCCCCTCCCTCCTTTTTCAAGGCTGAGAGGCAGCTAAAATCTCGACTGGACTCCACCGGATCAGTCCACGCACTTTGCAGAGATAGGGTGAAAGCAGCCCTGTAGTGTACGGAATACAGTACACAATCCTCTTTGTTACCTGTTAGATAGTCGTCAGCCTTTAGCCGTCTTTCACTTACCTTATCTTCATCTCCATCTCAGCTTATATCAACTGCCATCTTACATCTACACCTGCACTTCACCTACACCTTTACCTACAACCACCATCACCACCACCACCTACATCATCACCTCATCCAGCCCAACCACTACACCACAAGTATCGATAAGAATAATGGCAACCCTCAACCCCTCCCAAGCCCACCCCCAAAACCTCACCACCACCTCTCCGGCCAGCTCCGTCCCGCAACCCCCCAACCCCCTCAACCTAGCCGCCGCGGCCGCCATGGCCGTCACCAGCACTAGCACCAACACCACCAGCACCAACCCCTCTCAACATCCCACCGAACTGCACCAAACCCACCACCATCACCACCACCAACAACAACACCACCTAGACCCCTCAAACCACACCGACAACTACCCGCACCAGATCACCGGCTCCGGCGGCCCGACCGCCACCGCCCCGTTCCTGCGCGACTTCAGCCTCGTCGCGGAGGCAGCCAAGCGGGCGCAGATGTCCGTCATGGTGCGCGATCTGGAGGGTGTGACGCTATAGAAATGGCCGTCAGAATGACGTGCATAGATCTGGGTCCTGCAAATACGGCCAGAACTGATTCTTATTCTTTTCCGTTCAAAAACTGGTTAGATTTCGGTGCAAGAATGAAGTGTGAGGCGCGCGAGGTGAAGGGACAAGGATCGGAACGATCAAGCGACAAACCGGTGGTTACTTTAGAGTCAAGGGCTGGATTTCTTCGACTCGCGGGGGGCAAAGCGCCCAGGAGATGCGAATCAGAAAGAGAGGTGGATATGGGGAAGGTCATCGATGGATGCGATGCGATGCGATATACTTCCAGCGGAATCACGATCCAAGCCCAAGCCCAAGCCCAAGCCTAAGACCCGGACCAGGGTCAGGGCCGAAGGTTCCGCCAACCCACCAGCGCAAACCCAAAACCAAACCCAGTCAAAAACATACCCAACAGAACATCAACACCCACGACCAACCGGACAAATGAGCAGATGCATACATATATCCTTCATCCTCAGACCCTCCCTGACAACCACCTCGACCCCCCCCCACCCCCTCCACTTTCCAACCCAGCCCCCTGATGCACCATACCTGCACTAGTCAACTAATATCCCTCCCCTCATTCCTTTCTGCCCAACAATCCGACTTACATTGGCTCCTATGTTCCGGAAACATTTCTTCTGTTGTTCAATTCTCAAATAATAATGGCGCATACGTGTGGGGTGGTGGATTGATAGCGGAGCCTGGAAACATCCGGCATGAGTACGAGTACGAGCATGAGTATTTCTTGGGGCGTTGGACTTTTCTGTTCTTTGATGTTCCAGGTCTGGAGGACCTGGCTTTAATGTGGTAGCTGAGCGGTAGCGGTAGCGGTAGCGGTGGGATAGATGATACACGAGAATCCGAGTTGTTTCTTACTCTTACGCATACTCAGGTATGATGCGGTGCGGTAGTGTAGTGGACCTTTGTGGGAGTCTTGCTGACCCCTTCAAAAAAGCATGGGGTATTGAATAGTACGGGTGTGGGGAAAGGGCCAGGGAAAGGGTAGCATAGTATACAGAAACGTTCCCGGGTCAACCGTTGCGTCTGCATTACAACGCGGTGGGTCAAGTAGCACCACCACTACACCGCTGGACGGGAGTCTGGAGTACAGTCCACATATCGAAATCCAGGTCCTTGAAAAAGCGGAGGGGGAGGGGAGTGTCGCAGGGTAGGTATACTAAACCCACGACAGCCACATCTCACCCCGGTACCCTGGACTACCTTTACCTCTACATCTACCTCCAACCCATACTAAAGACAACCCCCGAAGAGGGTAGGTAGGTAAGTTGGCATCCAGTCCAGGCTGGACTGAATTGCGATCCATAGGCGCATGTATGGACAGTACATGTGTGTTGGTGGGAAGAACAGTACTTCCATGCATCAGGTCAGTCAATATATCAGGCGCGTCTTCAATACAGCCAGACCGGAGCCAGCAGGGCCAGCAGGGCCAGTGGATGGAAGGGAAGGGGGGGGGGGGGGGGGGGGGGGGGGGGGGGGGGGGGGGTCGATGCTGTGCTTGATGTATATGTCCTGTACATTTACATGTGAGGTACACACGTGTACCTAGACAGACTTACAGAGCTGGGTGGGTTTGGGATTTGGATATCCAATCAGTCCTGCGGGGAGTCGGTGTTCTGGGCCTAGCTTCATATCTTTTTGTTTTGCTTTCGGATGGAGGAAGCGGTAGTGGAGTACTGTACTGTGAATACTAGGTAACCCCTGGCTGTGGTGATCGGGTGGGTTTGACGGTTTCGGTCGGATTGGGTTGATGAATCCTGCCCTCATCAGATAAAAGCCATGCTACCGTACCTAGTAACGATACCTCAATGCTCAACCCAAGCCGATTCTTTGTGAAGTATGTGAACGAAGTTCTCGAATCTATCTATCTAACAAGTACAACCCCCCGAAACGGGACCGGGCCGTGCGGACTGAAAGGAGCACAGCGGAAAGGGGGTATGTCATACACACAACGCATCATGCAAAGCTATGTAAGATGTAAGGGTCGGTGGTATGGCCGAATATGATGGTATGTATGTACATGAAAAAAAAAACCATACGGTGGATGTTGCCTGTTGCCCACACCACCAAAAAAAAAAGCGTACTCGTACAATTCAAAGCAAACAAGTGTATAAATAGACATGCATGCGTTGTCTGGTTTTTTTTGGGGCATGTTTGTCCCTGAGGGTTGAGGTGGTGGCAAGCACTCATGTGATAGGTGGTCAAGAAAAGAAACGCAA